TTACCCAGGATTGCTGTGATCCTGGATGAGGGGGTGAGTGAAGGTGACAGCCAGCCAAACCATGTGCCCTGGTGCAGGGCTGCATTGCTAGGAGGAAGGAGTGTCATTTTATAATTCATTCAAAGGAACTGGATGAGCTAGCACAGCTCTCCATATTCCCCCCTCCCTGGTAAATTCTCTAAAAGGACCGGTGGGAGGTATTTAAATAAAGCAAATTATTAGAGTTTTGCCTACCACTAATCCTATACCCATGCCCCCCAACTGCCTGGAAACAACTACATTACTGCTATGTGGATTGAGGTCACCAGACCTTTTTCACATGAACCTGTATGTGATACAGTCTGTGACCCAGCTTATGAGGAAAGTCTGTGAACTCAGAATTCATACCATTTAAAAATAACTCTTTGTTACAAAATTACTTATTAAGAGAAAATTTGGAAAATACAGAGAAAAAGTCAAGGGGAAAAAAGATCCATTGTTCCACCACTCAGACAAACCTGATCTTAATACTTGGATGAATTTCCTCCTTGCCTTTTCATTCATAGGATGTAAAAGAAAACAACAACAACGTAAATGTAGTCATTCATACAGATAATTTTGTATCCTGCCACTTTCACTTAACATTGCATCTTAAGCATTTTTGCATATTACCACATTCTCTTCATGAACATAATTTTTAGTAGCTGTACAATATTCTATCAAGAAGGTAGATTATGGTTGAAAATGGCCATCTGATTATTTTTCTACATTCACCTAGGGAAGAGAGAAAGGAAAGATGGCTGGGAAGAGCTTTTTCGGTCTAGGGTTTCAAGAAAACCATCTGCAGGTCTGGTTTGCTATTCGGTTATTACTCCCGGGTGCCCTCCTAATCCTGACCTTCAAGCCAGCATAAAAGAACCTGGCCCCTTAGTAGAGGCTGACCAGTCTGCCTCCAGCAGAGCTGAAGTCCTTTTAATTTAAAGTGAAATTGATTCTTCCATCCAAGGAGAGAGAGAGACTGGAGTTAAAATCTAACCATTGTTAGAAAAGTCCTTACGGCTGCTTCTTCAAACATCGCACCTCTGACAACAGAGTACTTGTCAATAAGAGGGGAATGTTATGAAAGGATAACTTTGATAGTCGCTGCCTTGCTATAGTCAAGGCACACACTTTCCACTTTGAATTATGTATTAACTAGTATTGTTGATTAAGCCGATTTGAAGAGGAAGCCCTATTTAGTCAGCCGGGGAACATAACTGGCTACTATTTGGTGGCTATTTTAAATTCACCTTCATTAGCTTCAAGAGGTTTTTAATTGTGGGCAGCCCAGGGGAAGCTGATGGGATAAAGCCTGGGTGGAAAGGGGAGGCCAGCACTGCTTGGGCACGGAGGCCTAGGCAGCGTGGTTGCCATCCCCCTTTCTCTTTTGCCTCACTAGAAGTTGTAGGCTGGATGCCAGGGAGGGGCACTGAAGCATGAGGTCTGAGGATGAGGGGGGCAGCCTGTGGAGCTAGAGCACCGCACCTCTACTCCACCCCCGCCCCTGCCCAAGCACTCACAATAGACCAGCAGAGCAGAACAGGGGGAGCACCTGGTTGCTGGCAAGGTGGTTCTGCAGCTTCAAGCACCAGTGATGATGAGACAGATTGGATGGCGGACTCATATTGGGGCAAGATACTTGGGCATTTCATGAGTTTAGATTTGAAAATTGGTTGAAATCTTGGTTTGTGGAACTGTCAGCTCGTTACCTCAAACCCTCCAAAGCTTTGAAAATGGTCCTTCAACTCTCCAAACTGTAGAAATCTCTTT